TATATATATTATATATACTCATATGCATATAAATGTGTATATGTATTTATATGTGTACATGTATGTATACATATGTATATATATACATATATATACAACACGACGCACTACTAGGCGTCTCCCCTGTCTTTGGCAATGCTGCTGCTGTGTCTGGTCCTTGCTGCTTGCTGCTGCTGCTGCTGCTGCTGCTATTAGGAGGAGGATGTAAGAAATTATACAGGAAGCAGCAGAACAGCAGCAGCAGCTACTTTCCTGATATCCATCAAGTTCGTAAGGATGGTGTTTATCTTTATGAAGAATTCCTCCCTACCTTCGGTACAGATGTTAAGGTAAATATTAACACTGTCTCCTTTTTTTTTGTCTTCTTTTTTTTTGTCTCCTTTTTTTTGTCTCCTTTGTGTCTCCTCTTTTTTCTCTGACCTTTGCTGCACAGCTACATATCGCCTGTCTGCTGCTGTTGCTGCTGCTGCTGCTGTTTGAAGGTATACACTGTTGGACCCCTTTTTGCGCATGCGGAAGCCAGGAAGAGCCCCAGCGTAGATGGCGTTGTTTGCCGCTCAGCTGATGGTATGTTTTGCCTTTTGCTGCTGCTGCTGCTGCTGATGCTTCTGTTGCTGCTGCTGCTTGTGCTATCGTTGCTGCAACTGCTTCTGCTGCAGTGTACGTATCTCCGAAGTAGCTGCATGCACCTGTTTTCTTGGGTAATTCATATCTTGCATGTTGCTACAACTCCAAACCCTAAACCCTAAACCCTAAACCCTAAACCCTTTTTTTTTTTTCTTATTTGTGTATATAGGGAAGGAAGTTCGCTACCCCGTCATACTAACAGAGTTTGAGAAATGCATTGCTTATAAACTCGTGAGGGCATTCAAGCAAGTTGTCTGCGGGTATGTACACCCCAATATATGAATAGTATAATACTATAAGGGAGATACAGGCAGAAAATGGAGGCAGATAGAGACACAAAGAGGAGACGGAGGGACCCAAAAGGGAAACAGGCACACACGGACACACACAGAGAGGGCAGAAACAGGGACAGAGACAGAGACAGAGACAGATAGACACACAGAGGGGAAAGAGACAGAGACAGAGGCAGACACAGAGACAGACAGACAGAGAGGACAGATACAGGGACACAGACACACGGACAAGGACAGACAGAGAGACAGAAAGAACAGAGACACACGGACAAGGACAGGGACAGGGACAGTATATTTTTATTTATATATATCTTTATGTATCTTGTTTGTCTTGTTATACGTTACTAGGTTTGATATATTACGTACAAGTCGTGGTCCTTTTGTTTGTGACGTAAATGGATTTTCTTTTGTTAAATCTAGTGTTAAATATTATGAGGATTGTAGTAGTATAATAAGATTATATTTCTTAAATAAATTAGCAGATAGATGTGCACGTGCTGCATTACATACTGTTGTACCTTCTTCTTCTTCTTCTTCTTCGTCATTAGCATTACCAGCAGCAGCAGGAACAGAATCAGGAACAGAGGGGGAAGCAACAGCAGCTGCAGCTGCAGCTGCAGCAGCAGCGCAGCAGCATCAACTACAGTTGCAGCAGAATCTTGAACTGTATCTTGCACAGCAGCAGCGTCGTTGTCCTCATGAAGAAGATGCAAGTTTACCAGGTGTATTTTGGGTACCTGGGGGCCCCCATAGTGGGCCCCTACCTCCTCCATTAGGAGGAGAAGAGGAGACAGGAGATGGACGTCGTCGTATGCCACGTTGTTTATGTATGGCATTAGAGACAGAAGAGGAGACAGAAGGAGTAGAGGAAGAATTAAGAACAGTAGTAGTAGTAATGAGACATGGAGACAGGAGACCTAAACAAAAATTAAAATTTTTATCTACACAACCTATTTTATTACATTTATTTGATGGAAAAAATACAAAAAAAGAAATTAAATTAAAAAGTCCTGAGGAGCTTAGGGATCTATTAGAGAGGAATACAGATATTATTACTAATCTTGTATATTATACACTATTTTTTTTTTTTTTTTTTTTTTTTTTTTTTTTTTTTT